GGCAGACAAAGTTTTTCTAGTCACCCTGGGTATGATCTTTAATAATAGACTTGTCTGCCGAGCGTCAGGAGTTTGTCACCAGATGGTGTTTTTTGGACCACTTTGAGGGCCTAGATGAGGGTGATGGCACAGGCTAGAAGGCGGCAGACAAACATTTTCCGTTTCAGTGCATGCAAGGCTATCGATTTAGGGGGTCAAAACATGTATCCCGAGTTTGTCACTCAAAGTCGTCTGGCTCTCGGACTATTATACCTAGGTAACTACTCTGTACAATAATGGACTTATAACCTTGGCTTGAACTATCATAAAACATGAACTTGGGTCCAGAAAATAAGTACGGCACTATTCTCTTTCCAGACGAACAATTTCAAATTCCGCTCTTTTTCTTCTTTCAGAGGCCAAAGCATGCTCCAAATATTATCAGAGTAATGCGTAACGCGCATAAGTAACGCATAACGTCTGAACCGAGAAGCGCTTTGGAGGGTTGGACCGCAGTGTGGTTAGGGGGTGTGCTCCGTGGTAAAAAAATTAAAAATTTGATAAAAGGGAGTCTTATACCTCTTCAATTTCGTAAGCCTCTCTGGCAGGATGTTTTTGTCTGATAAAGTCCTGCAAGTCAAGAGCTGAGCTTAATTCTTGTTCCGTATAACCACTTAGTAGTCCGAAGTAAAACAGCCATGTCTCGAAAGCACCATGTTCAACGGGACACCATGAAATTTTGCTAGTCCTGGAACAAAAATTGTGTGTTTATGTCAATAGTATAACAGCAGGTAGTTACCTTAATCATACTTTTTTTTTTTTAAAAAAAAAAAAAATTTTCGTTCTATTTTCTAACGAATTCAACTGATTCACGTATGAGATGAAATTTTTAAGGATAGACACGAATATGTTCGGCGAAAAATAAATATGATAAAAAGTCTGGATAGCACTCGTAATACTTATAAGATTTCTCGTAAAAGAGGGGAAAAGAACTTTACCTACCAGATATGAATGCCTATACATACTTCCTTAAGTTCACTTAAGTTTGCTATTCTATACGGGGTATCCACTTTCTCGGATAGAACTTTTAAAAATTACCATTGGCGCGAGAACATCCTTAGAAACAATAACCTCATAAAATTCGGAGCTCGAGATTCTTGACTAAGGAAAAATAGAAAAGATAGGTGATCTTGTGGCGATTGAGCACAGGGGAGAGTTTCATGAGCCGCCGCCCGCGGCGCACTATGGTCCGAAACTCAAGAATAGGAAGAAATAAGTCGGATAATGACTACAAGATCACAAAAGTTTCTTAACTGACATTTTTAAAGTCGCTAATTTCGATTGTGATGTCAAATTGCCAAGATTTTAACACCCTGACCTATTAATTGTAGGTAAGTCAATGGCACGCTGCGGCGTGGCGTGCTGTCGGCTCAAAATGTACATTGGCGCCTACAAACCTACAGGGATACTTCAAGCATTGCGCAATGCGTGAAGTAGCCGCGCCGCGGCGCTCCCGGTGGGCGAGTGGTGAATGATCTCTAGCGGGGAGAGCTCCCTGGCGGAGAAACTCATATATCGTATAATTTTTATTTATTTTTTTTTCAATTTTCGGCTTCTTAAATTACACACTGGTTGTGTGAAGTAATTAGTGAACTTTCAACGACAGATGAAGTGTAATAATGAAAGGCGGGTCGTGCGCCATGCGTGCTGCGCACGGCGCGGGGCGGCTAATCAAATCCTCCCTTGTGTTCTGTCGATCTTGTGGTAAAAGAGCGACGATTCAAATTTACCGCGCTGACAAATTCCGAAAGTTCCCGCCCACTGCGCGTTGGAGGCCGGCGCGCGTAAAGGGCTCCGTGTTGAAGCGCGGGGGATTCAAATTGACGGTCTTCTGTCGCAAAAGCGTCAGTGCTATTTGCATCACGGTGCTGCTACATTTTTCGCAAATTTTATCGCTTATAAATCAGTTGTATTTAGGTATCACTCTCTTTTGCGAATCGTCTCTTAGAACTGTGCGTAAGATCCTACCTCTCTAACAAAAAATAAAACAATCTTTCAAATACTCACGTGTTTATCAGGAAAACCTTGTATAGAGGAGTCTTTGGATGATTGATCAAAGACGACGTGTTGTGGTCTCGGTAAATTCCTAAATTGTATTTTTCGCAAATTTGCTTTACTCTCAGCTGCCGTTCCTCGTTTCGCCTTCTCGCCTTTCTCTACAAAATTACGGACCAAAATAAAAAACCCATGAAATTTATCCTTAATATTTATCGTATTCCATGCGTATACATGTGCAGATAAAACACGGCGTGAATGTCGAAAATAGCTTTCATTAGAATTAGACGAATGAAAATGGCTAAAAATTGTGTAAATCTTCCCGTACATTCATAGAAAAACTTGTTTCGAGGAATAATTATGGTTGTCTGAAAATTGAACCATTGTGTATCATCCCTCGACTGAGTTGAAAGTTGTCAGTCCAAATAATGAGTGGTAATCATACAGAGCGCCGCACAGGTGAACGAAAAAAAGAAGAAAAAGAAAAAAGTAGAGCCAGCAATTGAGACGGGTTGAACTTGAAATATTTGAACTGAAACTGTAAATGTTTTTGTTCATTTCATCACATTTTCCGTAAATCTCTAAACCATATTTCGTATCAATGAAGGTGTAACATCATGCAGGACTGACAAAATTCAGGCCCAAATCCATACCGGCGTGTTGTTCCACCGAGGTCAAAGATCTGTGTCCGCACTGAGCAAAACAATTACCTACATGCTACATGCTACGATACACAAAACACTAATTAGAGCGCTTGTCCTCTCCTACCTCCAAGCCGTCTCCACATCCACCTGCCACACCTCTCATTGGCGATAAAGTTAGAGTCTTGACTATGGGACTTATCGCCGAATGTAAACAACCAATATAAGCACAGAAGAATCAAATAGCTCCTTCGAAACAGGCATGCCTGTACTGCCGTCCACAGCAAAACTCCGAACTCCATTATATATTTTTTTTTAAATTGTATTCTGAAGAAATGTTTCATTACCGAAAAGCCAACGAGCATCCGTCCTTTTTTATTCTGCAATAACTATGACGTACCATTTAAAATTCAAACATATAAAATGAAGCATTATGGTGATCAGGTTTTTTCTCATAATAGAGAGAGTGTGTAAGGAGGGAAAGTGCAAAATCATGATTGGAGTTACGGGGGCTCTTCGTGTGGACGGCAGTATACTGCCCGACTGCCGTGCTATGGAAGAACGCCGTATGAATATTTGAGAGTTGCCAAATATCCCTAGATGAAACATGTATTTTTGAAAATATTCATGCACATTTTTCCTTGAAATTTCCAGATATTTTAGATCAAATTGCGTAAAAAACTGTCTGAAATTTTTGGATCTAATGTTCAAAATTTTCCCAGTAATTTTTGTTTTTATAAGAGAAAATTTGGCAACGGCTGAGGGCTCATACGGCGTTTTTCCTTAGCACGGCAGTATAGTATTCCAAAGGTACGATACTAATGTGCTTTGGCGCAGTTTGCATTTCTAACGTACGTGTATGTCTTTAACTGAAAAAAATTTTGCAATGAGAAACTTTTATTTCTGGCTCATGCTAAAAAGAACAAATGAGCCAATTGTTACCCTATGCAGACACGTGCTTTTACATAGCGACACATCCTGGTCAATAAATGTTGACGAAACAAATGTATGGCATCAGCAGGGCAATTAATGCAGGAGCAATATGAATAATTGGAAACTATTACTGCTGGGTGCTAAGGAACAAGTAAGCTTTACACGCAAGTATAAGAATACTCATGAATATATATCATGACTCGAATAATTATATTCTATACAGTTCAAATAATCAAGAAAAATTACCAAATAGTATTGAATATCTTTCTCCGCCATGGGTTTAAATTCAGACTCAGTCCCTTTGGCAGCAGAAATTTCAGCCGTTTTCAGTAGAATTTGGTGGCTCAAATTCTCCTTCAAGACCATCCTCGTCCAAAGAACAATCAAAATAACTGTCACCCCGCTGTAAATAGAGAATCTCAGGTATTTTTTCATCCTTCATTATCATTCTTTTTTTGAATTGCACCTGTGGAAAAAAACCAAATTGTTTCTGATTATTTGAGTCCCCTTAAAGACTACTAAATTAACTTTTTTTCTATCAAGAGAATAACTTCGTCTTTTGTGTTGTGATATTTAAAGCCCAATTTTTTTATCATTTTAATTTTGAATGAGGAATCATCATCTAAGTTTTTAAAAACCGTTGGAGGATTCGCTCATCTCAAATTACAGGAAATAATTGTAAATATGTTGTCATTTTTAGTATACAGACTCAAACGATTCAGTTTATGACGAAATACGACTGTGCTGAGTACTTCTGTCAAAAATTTTGCTGACTTCTGAGTCTAAACGGAAGAAAAATCGGTGAAATCTTAGCTCAGGATTACTAAGCAATTTTTGAGTAATAGTACAATCTGCATGTGAAAATTTGACAACGCGGAAAAATTAATACATTCTTTTGTGCGGAAAACGACGAATCTGAAGGCAACAAAATTGTCAGCATCCGTCGCGCTGATGATGATCCACGGGCGGGAGGGAAACGCGTCCGCAACTAAATTAATTTGACGTGCAAGTGAGTCTTTTTTTAAAAAAATTGATCATATTCTTGTGCAGCTTCCAAGGCGAAAAAGTTTTTCGATTTTTCGTTTTATTTTCGTTGTCAAAATTACTCACCTCAGTCGCAACACATGTATGAAGAGTACGACACCTTTCCACAACTATGCCAACTCCGCAACGCGAATTCTTCAACGGTAAGAAGAAAAACGCAGCGAACTAAAAACACTGTCTGATCGAAAATCGGCTGAGAAACTGTTCAAATTCATCACCACTGATGTTGGGAAAATGTTTTGGCGCGGACGGCTGGGCACCTAGGTACACCTCGCGAGACGATGGGAGCAGAGCATACTGATCTCATTTCCGCGGCAGCAGCGATGTCATCACTTGAGCGACTCGATATCTCGGTCGAAAAACAGTTTTGCCACTTCTACCGTGTGAATCCTAGAAAATCTACGATTGAGACAATGACTTGACTTGACTATTGATAACGCGATTTAAGCAGAAATCTCCTGAAATTCGCTGCCAAGCATACATTTTTTTTAATCAAGCAGAAAATAAGCGTATCGATGGTCGAAAAGCGAAACCACGTATCTCCATTGGTATGTTCGAAAATTCCCGCTCCTATTCCATTTTTCCGCAGAAAAAAGAAAGTATGAAGGGAAGTTTGCAACGTCGCAAACGGAGGTACAGGGTTTCGCACTTTGGCTTCGATTTAAAAGAATTCGCTTATTTCAAAAAAAAAACTGCTTGATTTAAGCGATTTTATACTTGATTCAAAAGAAAATCTTCGCGTGGCGGCACATTCAGGTCATTTCTTTTTTTCTGAGCAGTACATTGGAGCACAAATGAACCACTCGCAACTTATTCTCTAAGACACCAGAAGTTGATGTTTCGACTCAACTACCCAAGTAACACGGATTGCAATAAATTAGAATCACATTGTAAACTTGATTAATAGCGTTGGAGTGTTGTGTATGTTGCCTATCCACCGATTGAAGGCACACGGCTAATCGAAATTCATTGCAATAAAATTGAAATAAGTTATAATTTTTCATTGTACTGCATATTGCCTATCTTTCTGACACACGGAATTCACTTTGTTGAATATTTAAAATCAGCATTTATTTGCCGAATGATGTAAAAATATTGCAATTCATGGTGAAATACTTTCAATTTATTGCAATAAATCGCAATTTTATTTCAATACTATAAACACGCTTGGTGCCAACAAACGAATGCCTCAGTAGACCAAGATCTACCTATTTTCTTTTTTTTCCTCTGATAAAAATATTGAATAGCGGCAGCGTTGCGGTTGCTAAAAAGACCGTGGCAATGAAAATGAGAAGGCAGTTGACCGAAAATCCTGTGCTCTGTTGTCAGTTGCCACGGTGGATGATGGAAAGCGTGAACATTGGACGTTGACCCCCATTTCCAGGCGGTGGTAAGTGCATCAGCAGCAGTAATTCAGGAGATCAGGGCCTCGGAGTCATTAACTCATGGCTCATTCTGTGCCCGCAGGCATTGCCATTCGCTCCGGTTTTCCACGACGTAGTAAGCTCTGACCTCCTGGTCGCTTTCCTTTACGCTGAGCTGAGCTTAAATCAGCAGCAGGAAATAGAAACACATCAACATGAAATTGCATTCCTGCGGACGTTTGTTTTACTCGTAATACCATGTCGCCGAAAAGAACCAAACTTGGAAAATGTACGTCTTTCTATTACGTTTTAGAGAGAAATTCTCGGTATTTTTGTTTTTTTATATTTTTGATTTTCTTACAAAAATGTTATGGAATTTCCATCAGTTCTTCGGTATATCAACGAAAACTCATAGAATTCCTTTAAAATTTGTGTGATTTCTTTTTTCTTTTAAAAATAAAACTTAAAATAGTTATCTGCGAGGATTGCCTACAAAGCCATAGTTTTTTATTTTTTATTTTTATTTTTATTTTTTTTTTTGCGGTTTGAGGTTTGAGTTTCCAAAAATTCTTCGCTTCATCTGCGTTGGTGTATTTGATGTTCCGGGGTTTGTAGAGCACAGTTACCGGTAAGGTTCGCCTACATTTTAAAAAATTATGCACTAGTTCGATTTTTTTTTTTTTTTTTTTTTTATGACATTTAACATTAGTTTTCCTATGCAGATGGGTGCAATGATGTCTGAGCCAGAAGTAGTATCTCATCGCAAAACAAAACCAATTCATTTTCTGTTAAGAATGCAAGCGAAATCGGGTTTTTTCCCAAAGAAAGAGGAAAATTCGAAAGAATGCGTCCAATAAAAGATTGGCGGCAAAAGGTGGTTAAAGAGATCAGAGGGTCTCATTTTCCTAATGACCTGTAAGGTAGGATCCTTTTAAGTGGCGTTTGACAGTCGCGGAGCACTCTAGTGCACTGATTTAGCGACCTGATATTACATAAAAAAACAACTTCACTTTGCGTGGGTATTTTGAAACCTACATTACGATACGTAATCCCAGATTTAACCTATCTTCACGCGACAAGTCAGTGATGAATTGCTCAAATTATATACCTCAACACCGTAGCATTATGAGAATCCGTGAGTTTTCGTGCATTAACGCGGTCAAGAGCTAAGGGTGGTCGTAAAGTAATTAGACCCCATTACTTTTCATTAAAGAGTGAAACGCTGTCACGAGGTCTCCGTCCTCACCTCCGACATTGATCCCAGCGGGCTGATTATTGAAATCGATAGACAGAGCGATAGAGATAGACCAAGAGGACAAATAGAAAGTGGAGGGATCCTGTTGATGGAAACGATTGGTTGCGATGGATAAAGGAAGAAAGTGATGGACTAATTAAATACAACCTATAAGAGACCATGTTGTTAGTCAACTTTCTCCCTTAGACCATAAAATCTACCCGTTTCAACTAATAGAATCGCTTCATTTTCCCTTTCTTTTCTTTCTCTATAGCTTTATCTGTACATTCCAATAATCAGCCCGAAGTATGTTTCCACCCCCTCGAACATCCCGAAGGGATAAAAACAGCAAGAGGGGCCTTCCGTGCATCCCCCATTAGCGGGAACGCGGGGGGAAGACAGAGACCGCGTTTAAGGGCGGGTTACGGGAGGCGAATAAATAAGGGGGGTTGCATGTTTGGCGTATTTTTAAGGATAGCTACTAGTTGGCGTGCCAAGGAATCTATGTCAGAAAACGCATGCGATGTGACCAAGTCGGGTCGCCATTGGGCCGGCGTTGTCGTTGCCATGCTGCGCCGCGCGCCGCGCCGGGCCGCTGCTCCCTCAGCCCTATCCCGCCGTCCGCGCCCCTGGGCCCTGGGGCTGGTCGATATGGTAATGTTTACCTTATTTCCTTCCTCCTTGCCTCAGTTGTCACGTGCGAGCCGGCCCGCGCTATCCCTTCGACTCCGACTGAACCAACAATGTCAGTGAGGATATTTCACGACTCGCGATGCATTTTACCCCTCATTCGCCCTTCCGATGCATTTTTCAACGCATGTGTGATTTCTCGAAACAACCCTCGTCGTCCGTTAATGAAATAGACTCGTGTTAATTTCGTGATCGCATCTCTCCCTTTCATCGACTTTTTCCGTTTTTATCGCTCGTGATCTTCCTCTTCATTTTTTCCGCGAGTGTACCAAACTTTGTATTCGATTCTGAGAGTATCCGAAAAATCACCCTCATGTTTCAAGTTTTGACGGTAATTTCTTCGCTCTGTTGCTGACTTTACATTTCGTTCGTGGTGCTTGAGTTTTTTGATGGCCCATAAAAGTTTTATGTTTGTTTTGATTGTTCTCCCCTTTGTTTCTTCTTGCGGGTTGTTACCTTGTCATGACTGATATAAAATATCGATACATAGTCGAATCAAACCGGAGTTTGGAAAATTGTATTCAATTTCTGTTTCCTCTGGCGTAACATTCCATCTTTAAAGTGATTTCTGCAAAGGCAACTTACTCCATTAGTGATTGGAAATTATCAACGGTGATAAGTGCTTATGTGTTGTTAAACCACGTAACATGTAACATTTTTGTTGGATAAATAATTTAATTTGTCCAAATACAATTCTCGCGTAAAATTCGCTTTAAATACGAAAAAATTGTCGACAGTGCTGTGATTTGGATACACGTGTGAACTAATTTTTGCAAATGAGAGTTTGATACAAGACTTCGCGTTATCAAACACAAAGCCGGTCAAAATATCCAACCAAAATGCTCAACCATAAGGTCAATGTGGCAAGCCAAGGGTTTTGACTCTGGCCGACGTGACCACATCCTCCACGACGAATACGCCCCGGTGAAAAGAGATGGGCGATCCAGGCCGAAGCAAGGACTCGTAATCAGGAAGGACCGCGCGCGTAATGTCGAGACCTTCCGCATGGAGATGGACGAAGTGGCCCCGAGCTTCAAGCTTGGCCCGATCTACGATTCATCGAGAGCGCGAACTCCGAGCGAGGGGCTTTTCGAGACCAAAGCCCCTCCCACCCCTCGGAACAGAAAACTAAGCGGCGAGGAAAGCCTCCAATTAACCCCCATCTGGCAGCAGATCATCACCTACCAGAAACTCCCCTACAACGTCAGCAAATCAGCCCTGTTCAACGAGATCAGCCAGAGGCTCGTCGATCCCGAATGGCAAGTCCGGCAACACGGATTGAAAGTCCTGCAGGACGTAATCCCGGTGATCGATCCTAAAGAGCTGGACGATTTCATGATCGACTGCGTTCTCCCCGCGGTGGTTTCGAATTTAGTCCACACGGCGCCGGCCGTCAAGTCGAGTGCATTCGATGTCTTGTTGATGTACTTGAAATACTCGCCCGACCCCGAGTACGTCCTGAGGACCGTCGTTTTTCAAACACTCGAATCGTCCAACGTCCCGAGCAACCTGCAAATCTGCGCCATGAACTGTTTGCCGACTTTGTTGAGTCAGGTCTGCGCGAGCGAGAATTTCAACAACAACGCCGCGTTCGTCGAACACGACTCGAGCAGCAATACTTTGAGGGTTCCAAGTCGGAGCGGCACACCGACTGCCAGGAGTCCGAATCGCTCTAGGTCGCCTGTTAATCAGTCGATAAAAGTTGATCAGTTGTCGCAACAGAGCCTCCTGCACCTGATTTCGGTTCTGGCGAAGAAGATGGTTCAGATTGCGTTTCAGCACTGCGCCGTCGCGTGCCTTGAAAAAATCAAGCACATGATCGGCGCTAACTTTTTCGACCACTTCTTGGAGACCCACAAACCGAATTTGAAGAGGGATTTCGACGTGCTGTGCCAAGTTTACGAGCTGCCAAACTCGAACATCTCCGACGTGATGATCAGCCCGATGGACTCGCTGATCTCGTCGGCGGACGACAGGGAGGCTGAGGTCTTCTTCTTCGAGGAGAATGACCAACAAGACGACACCGATCAACCCTCATCCACATCGTCCTTCGTGTCATCCTCCGAGGAGAACGCTAAAGCTTTCAATCAAAATCCGCAAAGCAACCCGCAAGTTGCGAACGAAAGGAACGACAAACTCGAATCAGCTACAAAAACTGAGGTCGCTGATCAGAATGCTAATACCCTGGATGCAAGCGCAGACTCGAGGCAACGTCCATCGAGCAGATCGGACGCGACATCAGAGAACGACAAAGAGAAGATCGACAACGGCGAAGTTTTGGTCGAGACGGAGATCAAGCTCTCCGAAGACACGGCGATTCAGATGATGATCTTGCAAGAACGGGGCGAGAAGGAAAATACGAAGGACGAGTCAGAGGAAGACGACGAGAGCAAACAGCTGAAACGAGTCACATTCGGCGGCGAACTGATCAAACTGCGGACTCCTGACAGTGACAACCCGACGACCGACGATGATCAGAGGAAGAAATACGACGCCGCGCAACCGAGAGAAAATGACACCGTCAGATCGAAACCTCCGAGCGTGATACCTTTAGACGAAGAGATGAACATCGTCACTAGAAGGTTCGTGGAATTGGATATGGACGAAAGCAAAGTGGAAACTGCGGAACAGAAGAAAGATCCGAAGGAAAAAGACCAAGGCAAGTCCAGGATCGCAACGCCCCAAGAGAGGCCTCCTTCGAGGAATAGTCCACTGTTGTACGATGCACCCCGGCGACCGGGGAGTTCTTCCAAGGGTGGAAAGGTTCGAAAGGCGGACGGGAAAGTTAAGAAACTGCGACGTCCTCGCTCGAGTCACATCCCGATCCCGATCAAACCGGCGCTTCACAGGCCCAAGTACCGGAGGTTTGTGCTCAGTGCGAACGCGCGCCGCTCGAGCTCCAAGAGCCAGGCCTCGTCGTCGGCGACCTACGACGTGCGAGACTCGCCCATCCCCAACCTGGAGGGCGGCGAGTCGCTGACCAGCAGCTCCGAGGGCGAGAACCGCCACAGGGACGCCGAGCAGAGCGTCAGGTCCAGCGGGTTCCTGCCGCATCTCGGGATCATCTCCGCCGAGACTTTGAGCGCTGTTAGCAATAAGGTGAGATGTTTACGTTGTATTTAAGCGTTCCCGGAGAGGACGAAGAAAAATGGTGCCGTGCTATGGAGAAACGCCGTATGAGCCTTCAGGCGTTGCCGAATTTTCTTTGATAAAGCACGAATTTCCTGGTAAACTTATGAATATTTTCCTTCAAATTTGTTGGAGGATTTTGTTCGCAATTTCACCTACAGCTCTTGAAAATTTCAAGGAAATATATTCATAACTTTCCTCAAAAAGGTGGAGAAATGGTGCTGGGTACACACTATTTCGCGGGGAAACAAAGCCAAGAATTTCCAAAAATTAAAATTAGAGTCAAAATTAAATTTTTTGACTCCAACTTAATATTCCAATGCAAACTGCCTGAGCTGAACACTCTCCCCCCTCAGTTTCGTACAGGTGCGCATTAGAGTTCAAAAAATTTAATTTTGACTCTAATTTTAATTTTTGGAATTTCTGGGAAACAAATCCCCGCGAAATGATGTGGACCCAGCACCATTTCTCCACCTTGCTACGTACAGTTCAGGCCACTTCTTAGTGTTTTTTTTTTTTCATTCCCTCAAAAATAAACATTTTATCGAAGAAATTTTAGGAACTCTCGAATGTTCATACGGCGTTCTTCCTTAGCACGGCAGAATAGGCCAATAGACAAGGTATGAATTAAATCACTCCGTAACATGGTTTCTCTTCACGATTTTTCACGAAGAATACGAATAACACAACTGGAATTCAGGAAATCAACTCCTAAACAAGATATGAGTGTTAACAACTAAAATTAGTTGAATGGCAACAATACAAATGATGTCATTTGTATGATCCAACTTCCATTTGATTTATGTTTAAAACGCTTGATAATATCTCGTTCGGAAGTTGATTTTCGAATTTCCCGTTGTGTGAACGGTTTTCCGCTTAAAATTTTGAAGTGAAAACATTTGACGCTTTTTTCTAGTTCAGACCTATATCGCTCATTCGATACCTAAAAAGCAACACCACTTATCTCCGTTTGCGGCGTTCTGTTGTACTTGATTTTTCTTGGGAGAACCAGTGAACGTGATTTCTGGGAACCTTCCTGGATTTTTCTTTGGAGGATTCTGTATGCATGAAATTTTGAGGCACCGCAATTGAGATATGCGGTTTTCCACCTTGGCCGTCGAATTACATCATGAAAGTATTGCTATTGTATCGGAGTGGTATGAATGGTGCGGTGGCGTTTGCGGACGTGGCGTTTGCGGATTCTAAGAATCCGGTGGAGTTTGCGGATTGTCATATTTTGATGGTGGCGATTACGGAAAGGCGGAACAGGGCCGGTGGAGTTTGCGGACCAGAGAATTTCGGCGGTGGCGATTGCGGACGAAGGGGTAGGCACTTAATTATCGACGGTGAAACTACCAAACCACGTATCTCGTTTGCGGTGTTTAAAAATCTACGCTCCCATTTTATTTTTTTGAAGTAGACCAGATCAATATCATTCCTTGAAATTTTCACAGAATTTTCTCCGCACGAAGAGGAAAAATCACAGAAATTTTCAAGACTGGACGTTAAGTAGTTTTTCATTTAAAAAATAAAGAATGACAGGAAGTCTGCGACGTCGCAAACCGAGATACGTGGTTTGGTAGTTTCACCGTCGTTATGCTGCCCCCCACCCCTGCGCTGTATATTAAAGAAAAAAATTACCGGAGAGGCTCTGGATTCCTTTCCGTGGATGAAAAAAATATTAGTATTAAACATTAGTATTATATTAGTATAAAAACATATGAGCAGTGAACATGCAGTACATTTTTAAAACATGCATATCAGAAATCAAGAACTTATGAATATTTTTTTTTCCAATTTTTCATAGAATTTTAACCGCACTTTAATACGCATTACCTGAAAATTCCATAGAAAAAACTTGAGCGCGCACCGTGGTATGCCCGCAATGTACGAAGTATCCTGCAGACTTGTATGGCGCTATGCTAGGTCGTCAGCGCGCACCGTGCCGTACGCGCAATGCATGAAGTATCCTGCGGTCTTGTAAGGCGCTGCTGTTCGCCGAGCGCGCCGGCCGCACTGTGTTTGATGTGATTATTCAAACTTGCGGCGTCAGCGATTTTGAACTTATGATTTCGAAGGTTTTGTTGAGTTTGTTATTGTCATTTCAAATGACAAAATATTACATAAAACCCAGCTAATTCGCATCTTTTCAAAATTATATTTTTATAAATAATTTTAAAGCCTCTCTGGTAATTTTTTTCTTTAATATACAGCGCAGGGGTGGGGGGGAGCATAATTAAGTGCCTATCCCTCTGTCCGCAATCGCCACCGCCGAAATTCTGTGGTCCGCAAACTCCACCGGCCCTGTTCCGCCTTTCCGCAATCGCCACCATCAAAATATGACAATCCGCAAACTCCACCGGATTCTTAGAATCCGCAAACGCCACCTCACCGGTATGAATTTTGCCGACTCACTAATGGAGGGGGCTCCTAATTTTGTAATTTATTACGATAAAATTTGTCGAAATAATTTGCATTTTCTGTTTTGCAAATTGTTCACCAACATTACATATACGTACACAGCCCGCGTTTCATTGATCGCTTGAAATCGGTATTTATTGATCAAACGATTTGAAAATATTGCAATTTCACGGGATAAAAATTACAATATTATCGCAGTGAATTGCAAAATGATTTCAATAATTACGTTGCACGTGCTACTCGGGTTTGAGGTACAGTGGTATGAGTATAGTAATCACCAACAAACCCTATGGTAGCCAAAACCGTAACTCTAATATTTTATTCATAAGTATCAGGGCCGGATTCCTACTTGCCGCCCCCTTCTCATTCGTTTTGAAACATCAATGAAAACCATCAAATGAACGTGCCAGCGGAGGAGGGGTGCATAAGACGCGTTTACTGGTGTTGAACACATTTTTTGGGAAAGCCCTGTCAACACTACCAGCAAAAGTTCACGGAACTTTGCGCGAAAGTTAATTTTCTTAAACCTATCTCTGTGTGGACAGGGCCTTCCATTCATAAGAAATGAACGAAAAAAATTTTAAAGAACAAACATAAATGTGTATTAATGATTTTAACTTCCGCCGCCGCGCCTCGCAGACCGCACTGTGTTTGACGCAATGCGTGAGGTATTCATGCATTCTTGTAGGCGCTATCCGTTTCACGCTGTCCGCAATGACCGCACTGTGTTTGAAGCGATGCGTGAAGTATTCGTGCAGACTTGTAGGCGCTAATATGTGTTACATGCCGATAGCCGCGCCGAGGGCTTCTCCTTTTCATCTCAAGTCCTCGTCATCATTTCTCTCTAGGTAAGTCGCGCCGTTCCAGGCCAAATTGCGTGTTTGGTTTCTCTCTTAACTCGACTAATTAAAGGGGACAGAAGTAGAAATTACTATACTCTCAGAAAATGAGAGATTTTGTCGCCTTTTCTAGTTTGTAATTTTTCTTTCTAAATCCGAATTTTTTTTATACCTACCTTTAAAAAAATTGCAAAATTTGTCGCCCCCTATGGATTTGCCGCCATGGGCCACGGCCCATGGGGCCACCCCCTTAATCCGGCCCGGATAAGTATGGTACATTTTTTCAGCGAGGGTGCAAATGCTCAAAGGTGCATTGAGCTAATATACTTGAAAAAAATGAGCAAAGTGTCACAACACCAGTTAAACAGTTATTTCTTTTACCCATCTCAACTTATGTCAGTAGAAGGTAGGTACATACAGTAGCCACCATGTACCAGCACCCCTAATCATACCGCGCAGACGTAGGTTACAGTGTTAATTCTCAAAACGCCTTAATTATTTTACTCAAGTGACGAGCTTGTTTTCACTGTGTATGTATACAAATAGAAATTGAGGACAACATAACAGGTATTTTTCCAACTGCTAAAACCCTTGACCTATAATTTTTTTCCCTTCTTATTTGCACTAAATTGAAGGGCGATGTCGTGGATTGAATAGAAGACTGCGTCTTTATCTCTATAATATTAAATGTAAAAACAGATCCATCCAGTAAAAAGTTACACGACATCACGGCATTAATGATATGTTACCGATTTTTACGATCACGGCATGATAACATGCAAAGTATGAAGCGCCTTCAATGTATTTGGGTATGCAAAATGACCATCTCCCGAGCCCGAATAGCGGCATTTAGGCGTTTTTATTCAAATACTGTCAAATGAATGTTCCTTACCGAACTCTTCAGTTTCGATTTTTTTTTTTTTTTTTTTTTTTTTTTTTTTTTTTTTTTTTTTTTTTTGGGCGAATCTGATGCTATGCAGAAGTTTCAATTATCTCTTCTATGGAAAAATACATTGAATATTTAACCTATCGAGTATTTAATAAAAAAAACTTGCAAAAGTTTAATGAAAGAGAGCCAAGTAGTATACCCTTTTGCAAAGAAAAAAAACAGGTTCGAAGATGCATTCTCTCAAAAGACAAGGGTAAATGGACTACATTTTGCGATAAGGAACTACTGTTTCTGGCTCGTTACAAAAATAGCACATAAAGTCATTATATCTTCTCTATGCAGACAGGTGCTTTTACGGACAAGTCAGAAATTGTAGCTCCCATAGTCGTGAAATGTAGTCCAAATGTAAAAAATTAGTCTAATTAAAGCTTCTAGCCCTGAATATTGCTCGCGGATCATAACATTTTGACGGCAGAAAATATACTTCAAGAGGGACTGTTTTTACTCTATTTTTTCAGAGTGTCTCTTGATCCCCTCTCTTAAATACTACCAATTCGTTTTATCAACGGAGAGATCGGGGCATGCTTACGCTCTCTTCAATTCAATCTTTAATTCCGTAACAAGCTTGAAACATAAAGATCGGGGATGGCATATGATTTCAATGTCACAAATACAGTGTCTTTATCGTATGCACAACTTTCTTGTCGAAGGTCTCAGTACGTTTTTCAACAGGAATATTCATTTGGGGCATGGGTGTTTTGCCAGCCCTAGCCATAATTCGCAGGGAATTATAATTCCCGTATCGCAACTCAAGTCTGCCG